TCAGGATTTTGTTCATGACAGGATGTATGATTACCTACAAGAACTGATGTAGCTCCATCTTGTGAATGTGTAACTCCCTCTCTTGGGTATCAGCATGTGAAGGACACTGTTCAGGAACTAGTTGATGCTCTGTATGTGATGACTACTTCCATTCTGGAGAGGATCACAGATACATGGATCCTGATGTTGAAGTTCAAATCGGTGACGAGGGATTATTAACATTTTTAAGTATTCAGAAAAAATCAGAATTTTTTGATTTTGAGAGAAAGTCCGAATTTTGAGAAAAAGTCCGAATTTTGAGAAAAAGTCAGCATTTTTAGATTTTGAGGAAAAGTCAGAATTTTGAGAGAAAGTCAGCATTTTGAGAAAAAGTCAGAATTTTTAGATTTGAAAGAAAAGTCCGAATTTTCAGATTTTAAGGAAAAGTCAGAATTTTTTGATTTTGATGAAAAGTCAGAATTTTGAGATGTTCAGAAAAAAGGCAATATTTTGGGGGAAAAAACTCAGTATTTTGTACATGGCAGGATGTATGATTGACCTAACAAGACCCGATATTCCTGCATCTTGTGACTGTGTAACTCCCTCTCTTGGATATCAAGCATGTGAAGGACACTGTTCAGGAACTAGTTGATGCCTCTGTATGTGATGACTACTTCCATTCTGCGAGAGGATCACAAATACATGGATCTGAGGTTTGAAGCACCTCTCCCCTCAAATCGGTGACGGATTATTAACACTTTTAAGTATTTCAGAAAAATCTGAATTTTTAGATTTTGAGAGAAATCGAATTTTGAGAAAAGTCAGCATTTTTAGATTTTGAGGAAAAGTCATAAATTTTTGAAGAGAAAATCAGATTTTGAGAAAATTCAGCATTTTTAGATTTGAAAGAAAAGTCAGATTTTCAGATTTTAAGGAAAGTCAGAATTTTTTTGATTTTATGGAAAAGTCAGTAATTTGAGATTGTTCAGAAAAAGGCAATATTTTGGGGGAAAAAACTCAGTATTTTGTAGCATGGCAAGGATGTATGATTGAACCTACAAGACCCGATATTCCCCTGCATCTTGTGACTGTGTAACCCCCTCTCATTGGATATCAGCATGTGAAGGACACTGTTCAGGAACTAGTTGGATGCTCTGTATGTGATGCTACTTCATTCTGGAGAGGATCACAAATACGACGGACCACTATTGCGGCAAGCATGTTGTAACTTCCGGTTGTTGTTGTCATCTCATCTCCGGGTATCCCGTGTGACTGTTCTGTTGCTGATAGCTTATTATCTCAACTTAATCGATCCGTTTTAAAACTCTTGATCACGGCAACTGCTGACGTTGTAACCCACGTTATTAACAGCTTTAAGCACTCACAAACATCTCCTTCTCTTAGCGACTGTAACCTCCAGTTGCCTACACTCTTTTTCGGGTTTGCTAACGGTAGCTACTTTAGCTTGATAGGCTAGCCATGGGCTCTTTCTCCCCACCCTCGGGTGCTATTTACTGCTCTAACTGTCTCATGTTTTGGTTACTTCCCTACCTCCTTTACTGGTACCGATACATGTGTTTAAATGTAGTATAGTTGTTAGGCTTGGAGGCGGGAATCATAGCCATAGAAGCCCGGCCCGCATCTTAGAAAATAACTCGGCTACAAGTAAAAAGCCCATGGTAGCGGTGCAGACTCGGCAAAAGGTAAAGCTCCTTTAGCGTCCCCCGCAACTCCGATGCAGCAGGAAGATTGGGGTTGGACTGTTCAGAAGGGGCATGACGCGAACCCGCAGGTCCCCACCAACCCCGTTACGTATCTAACAGATATTCCCAACTCAGCGAGACACCCGCTGAAAAGCCAACTCTGGTTATTGGTAGCTCTATTATGAGACACAGTGAATTTAGAGACCGAAGCGTCCACAGTAACATGCATTCCGGGGGGCCAGAGCGGGCGACGTTGAGGCGCATCTTAGACTGGCTGGCTAAAAAATAAAACCGTAAATACAGTAGGGATTGTTATTGACGTCGGTGGTAAGTGATGTTCGTTTACGTCCAATCAAGAATGCACCAAACTTAATGTGGCCGTCGGTGTGTAGTTATGCTAAAAAAATGGTCGGAACGCGTAAATCTTCTCTGGTCCCCTCCCCAATCTGAGCAATGATGACATGTGAATAGCCGCATGTCATCATTTCAGCGCCTGGTTGTCTGGCGGTGCTCAGCAAACAAT